TCAACCACTATAAATTTATAAGAACAGAAACTATTTTGATCTTACACATGATTGTATGACAGCACCTAGCAGAATATCTGATGGAGGGCTGGGGATGTGGCTCAAGCGGTAGCGCTCGCCTGCACCACATACAAAGATGTTGTATCCGCCAAAAACTAAAAAATAAATATAAAAATTTAAAAAAAGAATATCTGATGGATTTTGTTTTAATTTTTAATTGTTTGGTACTGGAGATTTAACTTAGGTGTGCTTTACCATTGAGTCACATCCTCAGTCYTTTTTATTTAATTTTTTTAGAGACAGATTCTCAGTAAGTTGCTGAGGCTGGGTTTGAACTGGTAATCTTCCTGCCTCAACCTCCTGAGTTGTTAAGATTATAGGTGTGTGCCACCGTGCCTGGCTACCTGATGAATTTTCAACACTCAACTAATGTCTATAAGATAAAAGTAACAAAAGTTTTGAAAATTAGGTTTAAGAGGACTTAGAAAAGGATACCCCAAACAGGGGAAAGACTGGTTACATTATAGAGAGTATTTGGTGTTTAATAAACCTAAGTACAAACTAGTTGTCACTAGAAGAAATGAGGCTGCAGAGCACTAAGTTGTGAACAGCTTTGAAAGATGTGCTAAGGAATTTATATATATAATGTTGGCACAAAAGGACGGAGCCAGTCACAAACTTCACAGATCAGCAAAAGCCTTTATTCAGTAATGGAGTCACACCTCTAATGGGCCTACTTTCCTGGTGGAAAATGAGCCACTGGCCAAAGAGGGAATCCATACTTATATAGGTCACACTGAGAATTGACTTAACTCAGGAATTTGGGGTCTGTTTTACTGGGCGAGATGGCGGGGGCAGTTCTGGGGTCAGTGGTCAGTATTTTAGATTTGTCTTTACTGGGCCAGATGGAGGGTCTGGGATCAGTGGTCAGCATCTGGAAATGGATTTGTATGGGGAAGGATCAATGTTTTTGACCTCTTCCCACAGACTGTCCTTCCAGATTTGATAGATATCTCCTCCCCAAGGCCTGTCTTGTTACTGGGAAAGAATGTATTGGGAAAGGATCAATGTATTGCCTTCTTTTTCACTCCCTCTCCCCAGGCCACACTATTTTGAGTTTGTCATTTTCCATATCCATCATATATAATTTATATATAATATATTAATATATATATGACATTATATGTGTATATATATGTATATACACACACACACATATGTGTGTATGTGTGTATGTTACTAAGGATCAAACCTATGACCTTCCACATGCTAAGCAAGCACCCTACTACTTAGCAATACCCCCAGTCCCTAGAATTGTTAAAGAAAGAAAATTTACAGTTATACTTGTTATAAAACACACTGAGGAAGACTTTTTTCAGGACCATTGCAATAGGTATAGGGACCACTGCAGTGGGATTCCCGCCACTGGGTGGGATTTTGTAGTGAGGAGAGAGAGATTAGGCTCAACTCCAAATATAATACAGGCAAATATAATTTATGGGCAAAGAACAAAGTCAATAGATGGAAAATTACTAAGAAGTAAGGGGGATTCTGCCTAAACAGATTAAGTAAGATTCATGCTAGACAGACCAGGGTGATCAGAGAAACCTAAGTAATGGAGGAAGATGAGGAACCTTATAATGTTTTGTTGTTTTTGGGAGGGGGTGAGGGTGGTAGTTCTTGCTAAACTGATTTGGCAGAGTTTTTTGCTAAAAGCTAAAACCAAATTTTGTAAGTACAAAGATGGGTTTAGGAGAAGCTTCAGGAGCCTGATCAAGCACAGAATCTTTGTCACAATCAATCCACCAAGTATAGCTAGAAAGTCCAGTTCCTTTCTAAAGTCTGTTTTCAGGACTGGGATGTAGCATGGGCAAGACTCTGAGTTTGATTCCCCAGCACYACCACCAGGGGAAGAAAAATTTTAAGYCTATTTTCATAATTTAAGTATTGGTAATATAGGAAAAAAGGGCAAGAGGCTGGTTCTATCCTTTTTGATCCCTAACAAAACATAAAGGTAARGCAATGGGGAAGGGCTATGGAGAGGCAGATAGAATCCAATGAAATGAAAGGTGCCATGGAAATCTCAGATTATGGGGATCCCAACAGTGGACTGTGATAGTTTCCCATGAAATTTCTCCATAAATGGCACTGCACATGGATTTGATGAGATTTAACCGTTTTTTCTCCCCCAAATACAAAATTACTACTTTCTGGGAGGATCTCCTAAGTATCTTCATTCAAAATATCTCTGTATACCTGGGATATGGTTCAGTGGCAGACCTCTTGCCTAGCATGCTCAAAGTTGTGGATTCAATCCCCAGCCCGAATCTGTGCTTCTTTATTTTGAATTAAAAAAGACATTCCTTTTATTTATTAATCRCTGCTAAGTCTTCTTTTATTATTTCAACAGGGGGAAAAAAGTGATATAATAGGGCTGGGAATATAGCTTAGTTGGTAGACTGCTTGACTTGCAGTCAAGCAGTCTACCAACTAAGTACAAGGTCCTGGGTTCAATCCCCAGCAACACAAAAATAAAAAATAAAAAGGTGAAGTCACCAGTCATGGTGACACATGCCAGTAATCCCAGCAATTTGGGAGCCTAAGGCAGCAGGATCTGAAATTCAAGACCAACCTCAAAAACTTAAGGAGACCCTGTCTCAAAATAAAAATTTTTAAAAAGGGCTGGAGAGCTGGGCACAGTGGCGCACACCTATAATCCCTGCAGCTCAGGAGGCAAAGCCAGCCTCAGCAATAGCAACTCAGTGAGACCCTGTCTCTAAATAAAATACAAAATAGGGCTGGGAATGTGACTCAGTGGTTGAGTGCCCCTGAGTTCAATCCCCAGTACCCACCTCCATCACAAAAAAAAAAAAAAAAAAGAATGAAAAGGGCTAGAGATGTAGCTCTCAGTGGTAGAGCACCTTAAGTTCAAGCCTAATACTGCAAAAATATGTAAATAAATAAATAAGAAGCCAGCCAACTATGTTTTGGTGTTTTGTTTTGTTTTGTTTTTCCCCTCAAGCCTCTAAGAACAATTAAGAAAAGCATTCTGTTAATTTGGAGCCTGACAGTCCAGCCACTTCTAGAGAGCTGTTGATACATCACTCTTTGTCATTAGGGATAGCCTCTGTAAGTCCAAAGCTGTTGCAACCAAAGCACATCTTGGTTTTTATAATCCACAGCAGGGTGGGAGGAGGTTCTTTAGCCAGTGGAATCTGAGAACTGAGCAAGTGTAGAGCTGCATACCAAGTGCTGAAAGGTTACTGAGTGAACAGAAGTGGAATGAATGTGTATTTTAAAGGCTGATTGTTCCTATTCAAATGTAAGTTTGAAGGGAAAGAGGCCCAGGCCTTCAGACAGTTTTCCTTTCTGCTACTTGAATAACAACATCTTTGTTCCTCAGGTAACAACTAAAACCAGCAAAGGCCCTCTGGAGCCTCAGATCAAACTTGCTCAGTCTTAATTCTTCAGTAAAGAATATGGATTAAAATATAAGTGTGCTAGGTGATATTTTAAATGCTTCAGAATAAATTGTTTTGAAACACTTTTAGATTTGGGATAATTGTTATTTCATTATAAGCTACTATTACACCATAGGCTGCTAGAAAAAACATGGTCTTTGAAGACTTACAGATCCAGACTTTATACTTTATTCAATTAACCTTGGGCATATCATCTAATCTTTCCAATCATCAGTTTATTCCTGTATAAAATGGGAATAAAAATCCTCTTTTTCAAGGATACTTTGCAGGATAGTGAAGATTGACTGAGAATATGTATGTGAAGGTGCTAAAAAATAAAGGGACATTCAATTGACAATGTTTTCTCCCCACACAACCAACTCTGCCTATGATCATAGTGGATGTGCAGTAAATGTTGCTGATAAAGAAACTTATATTCTTTCAATGTTTAACCTCAATCCAATTATAGCCATTTTCCCTGTTATAAAGAAAAGCAACATAAGTAAAATAAATGTAGAAAACAATATAATGCCAAAGTCAAAGTCTCCAGATGTAGCCTTTCTTTTTTCCTTTTTTATCCCCCCAATGCTGGGGATTGAATCCAGAGTCACACACATGGTGGGCAAGTACTTTTCTACCAGGCTACATCCCCAGCCATTTTTATTGTATTTTGAGACACAGTCTTGCTAAATTCCCCATGCTGGCCTCAAACTTGAAATCTTCCTGTCTCAGCCTCCAGCAGAGATGGAATTACAGGTTTGTACCACCACTCCCAGCTATGATTTATTAACCAAGAGGTAGGAGAAAAAAGAAAGAAAATAATCTGTAGCTACTACAGTTACACTAATTAAAGTTCTTTCGTGTTTTTCACCTTTATCTTTTCTGTTTGGTTTTGGGGACAAGTGGCCAGACCTGGATTATTGGATCAAGTCAGGCCTCGAGCCGAGGATCCTGATAACAGATTCAAGAGTGTGTAAGGTTTGCTGTAATGGTAATTCATTGAACTACATACTTAAGATTGGTGTGCTTTCTATATGTATGTGTTATTCTTCAATAAAAAATGTTTTTAAAAATTTCTCTGCAGAAATTATGCCCAAGTTCAAACAACGAAGAAGAAAGCTAAAAGCCAAAGCCAAAAGATTATTTAAGAAAAAAGAAGCCTCTCACTCCCAGTCCAAGCTACCTACACCTCCCCCTCCACTCCCCTCACCAGAAAGGTAAGACATAATGTGGAGCAGAGAAAATATTGAGACATCTGATCAGTTTAAGATACAAGTACCAGATTTAACAARCAAAAATATAGAATATGAAGTCGTTTGTATTTCAGCTGAACAGTGAATAATTTTTGGTAAAAGTGTGTCCCATGTAACATTAAGAATTTACTTTTATTAAATTATTCATGCTTCATCTGAAATTAAATTAAATTTTAACTGGACATCTGTATTTTGCATGACAACCACAGTTCTCACTTTCAAGTGAAGTGAGAATCAAAAGAAATTGTGTCCAAATGCACGATAACTATATTCTCTTTTCCAGGTGTACTAAGTGATGAAAGAGGGCCATCGGACAAGAATCTATATCTTAGTTTTGCTAAAGTTTGATCATTTGTTTTCTGGAACTCAAGTTAAATGTCCTCTTAAAAGAAAATCTGAGTTTTAGGAATTGTAGGGTACTGTTTTTCACAGTAACTTATATATTATAAGTTATACTTTTTCTTGTTGTGACTCTCTTTTATTTTATTTTTGGTACTGCTGGGAATTGATCCCAGGGCCTTGCATATGCACACATTCTACCACTGAGGTTACACTGCCAGTCCTATACCTTTCTTTATAGAAGATTTTTTTAAATTTTTTTTTTTTTTTTGAGAGAGAGAGCGAGAGAATTTTAACATTTATTTTTTAGTTTTCGGCGGACACAATGTCTTTGTCTGTATGTGGTGCTGAGGATCGAACCCGCCGGGCCTCACGCATGCCAGGCAAGCGCRCTACCGCTTGAGCTACATCCCCAGCCCTATAGAAGATTTTTGAAAACAAACTTTCATAAAGCAATAACTGCAGTGATACCATGTTTGACTCTTTTCTGTCTCTCCTGAATATTGTAAATCTCCTAATTAATTTCTCTATTTTTGCTCTTGTCCCTTCTCCTATGCATGTTCAATGCAGAGGCTGGCTTGGGCCTGTTAMAATCATGTCATATTGCTTCTCTGTTTTAAAGTCTCCAATGAAAGTAAGAGTTTTCTCCAGTCAGTTTATTTTTTCATATGTGTATGTGCTTAGGGAATTCTTTTTCACTTGTTATATAAAATATTCAACTTTTTTTTTTTGTTTTTGGTCCCAGGGAATGAACTCAGGTGCTCTCAACCACTGAGCCACATTTCAGCCCTATTTCATATTTATTTAGAGACAGAATCTCACTGAGTTGCTTAGTGCCTCACCATTGCTGAGGATGGCTTTGATCTCGCCATCCTCCTGCATCTGCCTCCAGAGCTGCTGGGATTACAGGTGTTAGCCACTGCACCCTGCTTCAGATTTATAATTTTTTAAATGCATATAACTAAGCTGATTAAGTATTACTGTCAACAGAGTCAAATGTATCTTTTTGCATTTTGAATCTGAAAAAATTTTTATTTTGTAACAAARATTTTATCTGTATTGCTAACTTGAACTTGTTTATTCCATTAAAATTTTACTAAAATAGCTGGGTGCAGTGGCGCATGCCTGTAATCCCAGAAACTCGGCAGCTGAGTCAAGAGGATCCCAAGTTTAAGTCCAGCCTCAGCAATTTAGTGAGACCCTAAACAACTTAACAAGACCCTGTCTTAAAACAAAAAAAAAAAAAAAAAAAAGAAAGAAAAGAAAAAGAAAAAGAAAGAAAGAAAGACTGGGGATGTAGCTTAATGGTAATGCACCCTTGGATTCAATCCCCAGTACCCCGCCCCCTCCCAAAAAAGAAGGAAAAATACTAAGATATACCTTGAGTTTTGGAATTATGTTTTAGATACAATACTAAAAGCATAGAACATTAAAGAAAACTCTCCAATGTCTTACTTTCTCAGAATAAAAATTAAAATCTGTTATATGACTCACAATGCTTATGTGATCCGACTCTGACCTTATTTCCCAATCCCTTCCCTCTCAGTCTATCTACCCTAGTCATTCTGGCCTCCCTGCTATTCCTTGAACACTTCAGGTGAGCTTCTACTTCAGGGCCTTTGCACTTATTGTTGCCTTTCTCCAGATTGCTCTTCTCTCAAATATTTGATTGCTAGCTTCCTGACTTCATTTTTTCCCCCAAGTCTCCTTCTCACTAAGATTATCACTGACTTTTCTACCTCAAACCCCACCCATCATTTCACATTTTCCCCTTTTGCTTTATTTTGTCTCCTTATATATATATTTATTATTATTATTATTATTATTTTAATATTTATTTTTTCATTTTCGGAGGACACAACATCTTTGTATGTGGTGCTGAGGATCGAACCCGGGCCGCACGCATGCCAGGCGAGCGCGCTACCGCTTGAGCCACATCCCCAGCCCTATATTTATTATTTATTTGTTTAGTTGCTTATTTATTTTTACCTTTCTTCTCCTATGACACATAAACTCCATGAGAGCTTAGAGATTTTGTTTGTTTATTTGTTTGTTTT